AAATATTATTAATATTATTTTGATATATTATCATTATAGAAAATAGAGAATGAATAATGAAGTTATATATTATTTTAATTTTTTCATACTTTGTTGCCATTTCATTCTTCATTAATATGGGTTTTAAAGGTCCTGCTATCATTACTACACTAACGGAAAACGTTACTACTGACAAAAGACATTCAATTATAATCTACATATTTAAACAATTAACAATTAATAATTATTAATTATTAATTTTACCTCAAGTATTTTTTAATCATTTTTAAGCAAATTATTTAAAATTTATACATACTTCAATTGGTACATCGTTTGGAACTTTCTCCACGGCTTTTAAGTAAGAAAGATCTAAACAGGAAAAAATTTAAGAATTTCTTAAAGTATATAATCTTAATAATCTTAAATCTTAAAATACAACAATTTCAACATACGTTCATAAGTTGAATAAGTTGAATGGAATAAAGCCAAAAAACTTAGCCAACCCAAAAGTTTTCCTATCTTATTATATGAAGAAGACATAATTTTTTTTATAAATTTATTTGTTTGATGTTAATCATGTGCTGAGTTTTTAAATTAGGTGATCTTTCTCCAAGTGGTAATCTTATTTCCTTTATAGGTAAGAAGTTCACGTTATCATTAAATTTGTACAACTATTTTCTCTTGTTATTAGATGTTGAATGATCTTTTATTTATTTAATAAACTTTAGATCATGTTTGAAAAAAATTTAACTGATTTAATTCGTGGAATAAGAGCGAATAAGAAACATGAACAAAAATACATTGCAACCTGTTTACAAGAAATACATCAAGAAGTTAAATGTAATGATCCTGATGTGAAAGCAATGGCTATTTCAAAATTAACCTATGTATGATCAATAATAATAAAACATACTTTTATAACTTATTAAAAGCATTTATTTTTATTAAAAAATGAATATTTTATTATTACTTATAGCTTCAAATGTTGGGCTATGACATGTCTTGGGCATCTTTTCATGTTGTTGAGGTAATGTCTTCACCAAAATTTACACAAAAAAGAACAGGATATTTAGCAGCTGCACAATCTTAAAGTATAAGTCTTTTAATAATAATTAAAAATTCAAAAAAAAAAATTAAAATTATTTTAATATTTTATTTATAAAATCAAATGCAATTTATTTTTATTTTAAAACTTACAATTTTAAAATTCTCTGAATCGATTAAAGTCTTAATTGGTAATTTGGAAGATTTGGAAACCTTTTCAGATTCTTGGTTGTCAGAATGGGTTTCTTTCTTTTTCTATTGAAGGGAACATATTAAATGAATATTAATAGAAATTTGCTCAGAAAATTTTTTATTTTATTTTTACCTTTTTAGTAGTGGTGGTGGTAGTAATGGCTTCCTTCTTCTTCTTCTTTGGTTTTTCAGATGATTCTTTATTCGCCTTTTTTTTTGATGTTTTTTTAGAAGCCTTTTCCGCTTTTTCAAGAGATTTGGAATTTGTTGATTTTGTGGAAGGTTTTGTCTTAGATTTCACAATCTATCAATTAATCCATATAAATTAATTATAATTAATATTTATTATAATATATATTGACAATAATGAGAGCGATTAAGATCTTACTTTTGATGATTTCTTTGAACTACTCGATTTTTCTGATAAAATTTTAGCTTGTCTTTCTACTAATAATTTTTTTACTCTTTCAACCTCTTTGATCCTTGATTCTTCAGGGCTAGCGTAAACAGTTATTTGTGGTAATTTTTCGTCTTCGCCCAACGGAGTAGATAAATCTACGTTTGCTATACCAGAAAAATCTACATCCAATATTCCACCAGCTTTGATACTTTTACTGTTGTTCCAGATTTTTTGTTCAAATATTTCTTTAGTAGTATCTTTTTCATCATCTGAAATGGTCGCATTTTCTGGCATTTCACCAATATCTGTGTAGATAACAACCGGTGTTGTGGTTAGTGATGCTGATGTTTGTGGTTTTTTTTGTGACGTTGATAGTGATGTTGTCGATCGATTTTGATCTTTTTTATTTCCTTTTTTGGTTTTCTTGGATTTGGACTTTTTAGGTATTGCTAATTATATTATAGTTAAAAAAACAAGAGATATTATTTATTTATTTATCATTTATAAATTGGAAAAAGATTTTATATAATAAACAAAGCTTACATTTAAAATCAAATTCATCCATTGTCAAACGTACTACAGGTATTAAATCCACGTCAATATTTTCACTCTTACTATGAGATGATGTTAATGTATTTGATTTTGATTTTTTTATTGAACCAACATTATCAACTTCAATATAGTATGGATCATTTTTATTTCTTTCTTTACGCTCCTTACGACGCTTTAAAGGTTTATTATTAATTCATTATGAATATGAATAAAAATAAAATAATAATTGATAATTATTAATATTAATAATAATAATAAATAATTTAAATAGTTACCTTTTCAAGAAGTTCCTTACTTTCTTCACTTTCATTAACAGTTTTTTTACCATTTTTTCTTACTCTTCTTCTACCAAAAGCTGTATCATTTCCGCTCGAAAATATCAAGTCACCACTTCCACCAAGCTTTTGACCATAACCATGCCCATAACTTTCCTCCAATTGCTCTTCACTTGAATCACTGTCTGTGTCTGGCAATGGTTCATTAATCCAAGTATCTAAATCAAGTCCCTCGGGTATAGGAACTTTCTTTTGGGCTTTAGGAGCTACAGGGTTAAGTTCATACGAAAAAAAAAGTTCGGAAAGTTCCGTTATGACACTTGGTGCTTTATTTTCAAAAGAATAGATATTTGTTTGCTCAGTTGAGTAATCCTCAGTTGTCATCAATTGTTGATGAATTATAGAGAATATTTCTCGAACGTTGTATGCCTAATAATAATTATAATTAAAATTATTAAGTCTTATATGCATACGTATACGTTTATGTACACATTCTTTGATTAATTACCCTTTCTTGAACTTCTAAATCAGTGCAAGAACAAAACACCCCTGTTTTCTCTTTTAAAAAAGTAGTAAACTCGATCAATTCACTCTTTGTAGTCTCATTCCAATTATAAATTAAATTATTGGACCAATATGAATAAATCTTCAATATTGCATGAACATAGACAGCCTGAACATTATGTGGAAGTTTAGTAACACCAGGTTGAATAAGATGTTTTATAGTTTCTTGTGGATTTTCTAAATAACTATTTTTAATAACATTAATAATAATGTCATTATTATTGTTATTATGAATTAAATGACATATAATGAATGAGTTTTAGTTCAATAAAAATAAAATATTTACCTGCTATATTCACCAACAATCCATGCTGCTGCATAAAGTACTTCGGAATTTGAATCAGGTAATTTACAATTTTCTATCATTTTTGAATCTGACAATAAATTTTGCTATTTTAAAAAATAAACGACTAAAGTTA